CTTAATGTTTCTCAAGGCTATAAATGGATGCCAGAAGCAATACATTAGTGCTGTTAGTATATTAAAAGTCACAAATCAGTTTTGAACATAGTTTCATAGAATACGGAGCACACGTATCATTTACTATGGTACTTAACTTTTTTACTGTCTTGCAAGTTCCTAAACTCGTGTGACCATAAAAAAAAAATTTTGAACTGTACCTTAGAAACTTATCTGCTTTTTAGAGGAACTTACTAGGAGCATAGCAGGCAATCAGGCTTCACCATGATTCTGCACTTTAAATGGGAAGTAAAACAGCAAAACACATCCTCTAGATAACACTTTCACCCATATTTTCGTAACTGCTCTGAAAGGCCAAAGAGTATTTTAAGCTTCAGAGGAGATTTTGCCTCCATTTAGTTGTGTAAGCAACCAGCTTCCATAGGTTGTATGTAACTCCAAAAGTAGAACTTGAGACCACTCACAAACCAGAGGAAAGTCTGAAGTCACACATGCAACAGCACAAAACCCACTTGTAGCTTCTTTGACAGTGATATTAGAGTACAAGCTTCAACCAACCCAATGCAAATCTCACTAGAGTCAGAAATCTGTATTTCAACATGAATTATGATCACAAAGAAATTTCAAATTTGTTAGACACACAGTTTCACCGTGGTCTGCTACAAAGGTGCATTTGGTTTTGAAGGACACATCTACTTTAAAACAACAAAGTGGTTGATTTGTACCTTCACAAGGCTGCTCTGACTTTTACTTCCTTGTAGGATTGGAGTCAAAGCAATTTGAGTAAGGAATGAATAGTTTTCTATTTAACCCTTTGGCTAAGCAATCCAGGGTTGACCCACTTGGCTTCTGTTCTTCCAAGTCTTCTCTAGTCACAGGCCAACAAAACCTAAAGCCTGAAAGATTCTGAAGAGACAAAAGCTCTAAGTTTTCAAATATTAGTTTGAAGTTAAAAGATTAAGTTTTTGTAATGAAGTAACCAGGTATTTCAAACACCTTATCTTCAAGTTTAAAATAATGGGCTCTGTTAATGAATGCTTAAACAGAGGTGAGCCGCACGACGGAAGAGACGTCTTCATTTCCATATGATTTTTCTGAAGATGCCAGCTCACAACCAGGAACATTTGCTCAAGAGTCTTTTCAAGACAATGCCTCCCACGCGTCAAAGAACAGAAGGAACATCTGGATAACAGAAGGTGGAAACAAGTTGCTATCACATGGACAAGCTCTGGCTTTAAAATGGCTGTCATAAGCCACCAGATAAAAGTACGGTCAGTATTATCCTGCTGCAGAACAGCAGTGCTACTGTATGCACTGGTAAAACATGGCACGCATACTTCTCCACCCCCGTCTTCAAAAATACAGAGGCATTGAACAAGATACCCATGACATCAGTGGGAATAAGTCTGTATTCTTCAATGAGCTTTGGATCTAATTGTATAAAGAATAATTACAAACAATTTCATGAAACTAATGAAAAGAGTTAAAAATATCTGTTCATTTTAATTTTATTTTCAAAGAGCTTCAGTCACAAAAATGATTTACAAGTCTATTTACAATTCTATTGTACAGTTATTTATGTATGCCTCTTGACAACAGGGTACCATTCTAGAGCAGCAATACATATTTTAAATACAAAGATGTAGTATCATTTCAGATTTAAAAATAAAGAGGAAGCCAAGCTTCTAGAGAGCACTGTAATGATCAGCCTTTTAATCTGCATTAGGCTTGAGGAATTCATGACAAACCGAGTAGTTTCTGGTTCACGTAATTATCAAACAAGCTGCAGTTAGTTGAAAATAGCTTTAAAAACCTGAAGCTTTACTGTATAAAATCAACATATTCAAGACTCTAAAAATTGTCAAAAACCCACATCTTTCCCTTAGACATACAAAAGCCTAAGTTTACAATTCAGAATTTCATGGGAGAAATCCTACAGAACTTTAGCTCTCTCATTTTGTGATGACCAACATAAGCATTAAAAATTTGCAGCATAAAAAGGACTCCACATCTGCTTAGTATTATACTGTATACACAGATACAGTACAGGATTATTTACCCAATTTGGGATGACTGTTCTGCACAACCTTCATGAAGAAAGAAAAAAAATAAATAGAATTAAAAATCCAACAACTTTTAAAAAGTGCAACAGTAAGAGTTTCCAATTTAAAGTTATGATGAATATGGACAGTCGGTTCTGTGGGTGTTCCAGCTGCTGCTTCTCAAACATTATTCGCAGCATTTTCTTTACAGTAGATTTAGTTCTATAGTACATGAAACTAGAGTTACTGCTAATTGAATCTGAAGGGAAGAGGAAAAAAAACTTTAAAAATAACCCTGAGGGATATACAATTTAATGATCTCGTAATTTACTTCTAAAAAGTAACATTTATTATTTAGCAACTGCTTTTCTGGGTAGACCAGTCCTTTAAGTATGTGCATAAATAATATTTAAAAATCAATAATATTTACAAATCCTAATGCATCAAAGTAAAATACGTACAGATTAAAGTCTGCATACTCAAATAATTTAATCATAAATCAAACTCCTAAACGTAAGGCCAAAATATACAGCAGGAAGAAAATGTCTAACAATGATCTAGTGGAGATCACTAAATTGCTCTGTTCACCTGAATTTAGACTTCCCAGATGAACATTAGAAGAGATTCTTTCCACTACAAACTGAATTTCATCTTACTTAAAGCAGAAACTGAATACGCTAGTGCAAATCTAGTTTGCTGCATTTCTGAAAACCAGAAAAACTAAACTGCTCAAAATGAGAAAAATTATAGGTGGCCAAACTCAGCTCTTGGGCAGGAAGGCATAAATCCCAATAATTGCAGAAGATGCAAAAGCTTATTTTGTGGCTGAACTTGCAACAAGAAGAAAGATTCTCAGAAAAGCTGATTTATTATTCTTGAGTAAGCATCAGAAGCAAATAGGTCAGAGCTCAAGCATGCAACCTCAAAAACATTTACTAACTCTGAACACATACCTTAAGGAAACTAGCTTCCATTTGCAAATTATTCAAGTTTAAATAGGCTCATGACCCATTAGTCACTTAACCAAGTGGAGACACTGGGCAGTATCAGTTTTAGTAAGAGTTCCCTAAAATGTTCTTCAAAGAAAAGCCCACCTTAATAAGCTCCTCACTCTCCCAGTAAGTCTAATAAACTAGCAGAAGATTGAAAGACTAGCATCAGAAACCAAACAAGCTGAGAGAAGGTATCAGTTTAGAGAAAGTGTTACACAAAAGTACACAAAAAGGGAAAGACATATTTGCTTTCACTTCTGGTGGAACCACCAAGCTAAAACGGTCAATGAAATGGAAAGCAAAAGCAGATGCCTTTAAGGATGTCACAGCTCCTAGGTCCAAGATGCATAGCTTCACAACATTTTTCAACTAAAATACTGTTTTTCTTTAAATTTGAATACTACTTACGCAGCTAAGAATTATTCTTCAATTATTCCATGCTACAAAGATCTTGTAAAATCAATATTGACGGAAATTAGCCAACTGACTCAAGTTCATGATTAATAAATTTATCCAAGTCCACAGTTGCAGACCCCTTAAAAGCTACCGATGTCGTTCGATGTTTATGACCCTAAGAAGCCAGGATAATAAGACTTTTACATTGCTCTGTTGAATGAATGTTAAGAAAACCACTTCTCCCTTCCTCCTGCTCCACCCCCCAAAAAGCAACAACAAAAAAAAAGAAATCAGGAAAAGGGTTGACAGCTGGACTAGAGGATAGTACACTACATGCATGATATTTAGGAGGAGCAAGCGCTAATAGCTTAAACCCCCAACTTCCAGGAAAAAGTCTTCCAAACCATTTAGCACCACTTTTAAATTCCCCATTGGCACAGTATGTTCAACACTGCGGAAACTGCAACATGAGCAGTGGGGGACACTGTCCATACTGCCTTATAGAACAGCACAAGGGAATTAGGCCTGACCTGAAAAATTCCCCTGTATTAAAACAATGCTGGAATGGAGTTGTCTCCACAGGAATTAAAGAAAAAAAACACCAAACCAAAACCTCAGATTCCATCATAGAATACACACAATTCAAACGGATCCCAGACAGCCAGGGAGTTTGGGGCCCTCCTTCCACAACTACTCTAAAGGAACCGACTTTCTTCTCTAAAGGATCTCTACAGAATCATGACTTCTCCAGATCCCAGAACCCCTCCCAAATCTTGGAAGTGTCTGAACCGGTCAGTTGCATCTGATCAAAACAGACTGATCAAGAGTTAGTATTTTTATCATTTTCCAAAAAATACCGAAGAAGACTTTTCTGAAAGTTTAGCAAGTTGAAGATGATTTGGAGAGAAGGAATTTGTGGTTTTAATAAAAAGACAAAACAAACAAACAAAAAAACCAGAAAAGTTTTAAGCTTTGCATGTGAAGGCGATGCCTGCCTTTACATCTCTGCAGATCTATTTTCCTAGCGGTCTTGTGTTTTGACACCGCCTAATGGCAAAATGATGCATCACTACCCCAAGCACTTAAGCAGCATTATTGGTGATACAAGCTTTTTTTTTTTTTTTAAATAAATCCACTTAAGCCTTACAGTTCTGCAGCAAGACAGACTTTAGCTCATCTGTTTTCTCTTAATTTGTTTCATACAGCTACATATAGTGCTTAAGACACTGGCAGACTATGAAATGCGTATGTTCTTAACATGCACAAATCCCAAGCATGGGCGTGTGAAAATATTCCTCCCTCCCACCCCCATTTCCCTTGCAGCAGTAACTCTGGCCTTACTACTTCAAGGTATATAGGAAAATTATCTTAAGATTTACAAATAAAACATGGTCCACAAAGGGATAATCCAACCCTTTTGCTAGAAAAAGCAAGGTCTGTGGAGAAATGCATAGCTAAATGTAATAAAACATGAGACAGAACAACATGTTAAGATTCTCCAGCCTTCCTTCTCCAAAAATTTGAGTGTAGCCAAATGCTGCCTCTTCCTCTGGAGGCCACCTAAGCCCTTCCTTGGGGTTAGCTAGAAAAGAAGCTAAGACCCTACTTGAAAGCAATGTGCTTTCTTCTTAAGGACAGAGCATATTGCTTCTATAGCATTGCCAAGTCCTGCTGTGGCAGACTAAAGAATTAAAACTTAAAATCCAAACTTTACACCTGGAAACACTCCTTACTAGTAGGGACAAACTTAGAGGTACACACACCAAAACTTTAGAACTGTTCTGAGGCACAAAGCTTTTCAACAGTGAATGTAAAAAAAAAAAAAAGTGGGGGGGGGAAGGGCATGACAAGGTTATTATGTGCCTCTAGTACTACCATGAAACCATTATATCATAGGGTTTACATGAACACATGCCTGGGTAAGCAGGCTAGAACAATGATTAAGATACTCCAGGCAAATAAAGTGAACCTGTTTTAACTGCCCTGCAGTCTAAACCTTCAAATACATCTCATTTAGGAATAATGAAATTTGAAAGAAGGTAGAAGGAAACACAATCATTTTTGTTCTGCCTAAGGTAACCTACATTTTTAAAATTTATAGCCATAAGATGTCTGACTGAACTTTGTATTCAGAGTGACAAAACAGTTGGAAATATCTGCATTAGAATTTGACATTTAGTATACTGCAATTTCAAATAAAGCCTTAAAATTACATTCTTCTGAATACTACTAAAGACACATGCCACCAAGGTCCGCCGTTACGTTACAGTGATGATTTGATATGAACCACTTTCTTGGGATGGTGCTTTCGCTTCTGTTGTTGTTCTGGGTTTTGGTGGCCATTCTGGATCAACCAGCAGTTCCTGAGCTAGATGCATATACTTGGCTTTTGGTGTCTTCTCTCTACAACCAAACAGGGAAGAAAGGAAACAGACTCCACAGCGATCCATAGCCTCCTGCAGAAGCGAACAGATTTGAAAACTGCATTACCATAAGAAAAAATTAATACAAGTAACAATACAGTCAATTGCTAGAAGAAAGCCTAGTATTTTAGTTTCTAATTTACTATTTCATTGTCACACTGGACCTAGAAAGCATAGTACAGAAACTCTTTGGTTGTGTCATCTCTTCTATACTATGGTAGCAGTGACATTTAAAAAAACATTAAGAAAAACAAAGTATTCTGCATTATCGTAACATCTATGGTCACCAACAGCTTTTATGCATATTTTATAATAGTTCCCATAAATGCAGGTATAACAGGCACTATTACATGATGTTACTATTGAAAAATAAAAGCCTGGTCTAGAAAAAGCATTCAAATTCCTGGAGTCTCAAAACACTTTTTAAGCAATGAATTGTTTAACTGGAGGCAGGCAGTCAGCCAAAAGTGGCAGAATTTAACTTGCTGATACTGTGAAACCAAGTCCTACAGGTATTAATAGTTACTAAAACAGACACAAATTATTGAATTTAAGTCTTCCCTCCTATTTTTCCTCTCCCAGTCCCAAACACATGTAACTTAACTAGCTGGAGAAGAGAAACACCATTCCTCATTCTCAAGACTGGATTGCTCTTATGTCTCAGAGAGCACCTGTACTCTGCAGGCCTGACATTTTAATGGATATATATTCTATGGTTTTCTTCATGCTCTGAATTTCTACCAATTCATGAGCTGAACCCAATATGAGCCTTAAGGACAACTTCCATTCTTCAGTGAACACAAAGCAATTTTTTTCTTGAGCAGCCTCAGAAGGACAAATGTAAATCTGAAGTGAATACATTTAATAAAATTTAGTGCTGAGAAATAAATTATTGTAATTTTAACAAGAATAAATGTACAACCTGCTAAAAGTAATAAGCCAACAGGCTTTAAAAAGAAAAAAGCTGTTTTTTTAACATGATTCACATGTATTTCCTACATGTATGAATGACAGAGGGGCAGATCAGACCAAGATTCATGAGCACCTGAAAAGCAGAAGCCAAATCCTTCAGTCTCCTAAACCACCAGAAGTAGTAATAGCGTACTTTCTTTTGCCGTTTTGTTTCTTTTCATTTGTACATGCTATAAATTACTGCTCTCACAAGACAATGTTCTAAGTCCCTAAACCAAATTAGAGTAATAAAGAACTGGATTAGACGCAGCATCAGCAATTCTGCTCGAAACAAATCAAGACCTTCTCCAGTCCTAGCATGCTAACTTGTGACAACACAAGCAAAATTTGCTAATGTGCAAACTGAAGAAAGTGAGAAAAGACTTAAAAGCAATCCTCTGGGCTTGCTTCACAGTTCTTGTATACAGAGCTAAATCCTTTAATGTCAACAAGGAGAAAAACATAAAACCAGAAGCCTTTCCTTTTAATATTCAAGTTACAGAAATCTAATTTAAACAGTCTTAAGCTTAAGATAAAGCAACAAGTACTTATAGAACATAAAAAAGACAAAACTGAATTAATCTTCATGCACTCAAATGATGACAGCAAAATACTAGTCTCCAACCTGAGGCGGCTGGGGTATGGTGAGGCGATATTCTCCTTGTTTGTCTCGATTGAACACAACCTTCCAAAGGATCATATCAAGGAGGACATTCTGTGGGACATTGCAGTGAGTGGGAAGAATTAAAGAAACTAATGATCATTTGTTGTTAGCGTGCACATTACAAACAAACCTGAAATAGTATGTTAGGCATAACTAATTCAGTGTCAGGCAAAATGGAGAGTTTATGTTACTTGTCAGTACTTCAGTGATAAACATTTTCATTCCTAAAGTGCTCAAATGATGTTTAAGAATAAGAACATGTACTTGAAATCAATAGCAATGACCAAAACTGCATCCATCGATGCAGATGAAAAATCATAAATACACATCCTTAGTGTGTTTCAGTACTCTTAAAAAAAAAAAAAGCCTGTGAAGCACTGCAGACATGAGTGCTCAAAGCAGTTTCCCCTCAAACAGTCTTTAACATTAGTGTGTACCTCATGCTGCAGCTATGCTTTGTTTGTTTTAAACCAGTTTGTTTTAAACCAGTTTTAAACCCCAAAAAGCTTCAGTGGGGTGGCAAAGCTGAGCCACCAGCAGGAAGTCTGAAGCAACTCTAGGAGCTGTGTTCCAGATTTTGGAGGAGTGGGCAGAAGTTGAACAGTGTGTTCCGTACATCTGGTTAGTTTCACATGGCTGCGTGGGCGGACTCAAGAGCCTTGAACAAAGCCAGCAACACAGGTGTGAACCTGTAACTTCCATGGCCTTGAGCCTACAACTCTGGACAGATTCCATCTCTAACTTCTGACTAACCTCTGCCATTGAGAAAGAGGAGCTGATTAGCCAGAATTTCAGAATAGATTTTATAAATGCATATGATTTTATAATACACCAAGTTTTATAGTGCTTTTATAAAGCATTTGCCAACAAATCTTCAGCTTGTTAGACGTTAATTTTTGAAGCCAGTCTGGTTTAAGTATGTCTATACCAGGCATCAGGGTAAGGAGGAACAACTGCTAGGATCTGCCTTTGTTGTGCCATATTTTCTATCATCTGGTAGAAAGAATATGTGTGCTTTGTGAACCTAGTCGGGCAGCCACATGGAAGGAGCAAAACCTTTACACATCATTTCAGAAAACATGTTTGGGACAACCACATTCAGAAATCATTCCTGTTGTAGAAGCAATTAAGAAACTACATATGATCATAGTGTGGCACAAGTGTCAAACTGGCAAGTGTGACACAAGAGGATAGATCCAATCCCTCATGTATCACATCATCACAAGATACTTAAAGAGGCAATTACGGATGGATTCGTCTCAGCAGAACAAATTATAGGTGATATACCTACAGAGTACCTTGTTAAAAGAAATAAGGAGATGCCACCAGCAGCTTTTCCTAGATACTCAGAATATGGCCTGTGGTAGCCAGTAACTCGGTAGCGAGAAGTGTAGTGAGCAGAAAATCCAGCCAGGCACACAAGGACAGAAGAGCAATGAGCTGTGCTGGAAGTGAAGGAATGAAATAGCCTGCCATTTCTACACAACACATTGGACCCAATGAGTTGGCACCACATGGAAGAGCTTCAGGGAGCCTAGAGTAACACTGCTGGAGTTGGACAAATATGGTTCAAAAGGTGAGACGAAAGCAGGTTGACGTTACGGACGGTGAAGCATGTATCGTAAAACAAGGTTTGGGATTTGAGGATCACTAGACAATGCTTCTGTTGGACACCTGCGGTACAGGAAGGCAACTTATCTCTCTGCCTAAACAAAGTGAAACAGTGGAAGTGCAAGAAACAAGTTTTAAGTCAAATCCCAAACAATTAATGTCAAGAAAACCGAATTCTATACTTACTTCTATTCCACTGAACTATAGGCAACAAGATAAATGGGAAAGTCTGGTTAAAAGGAATGTGACAAATCATCCAACCCATTTTGGTAATGACAGTTAAATGACTGAAGTGTTGAAAAGATGCTAACTCACACCAGCATAGGAAAAAGACAAGGGTGGAGTTTAAAACACTGGGTGAAAGCAAACACTCTACAGTAATTATATTGCTTAGGTTATGCTTATTAGAAACTCAGAAGTTTATGAATTGATGTAGCAACCAACAAGGCCCAGGAGTGAAGCCTTATGAATGTTTAAACCAGAGAACCACTTGCCCTTGAGAGACACGTGCCAATATGTGGACTGCCATGCTGTACAGACTTTCTACTAGAGCCCTTATGCTTCCAGAACAGAAACATCACCAGGCTGTATAAAAATTAGAAAGATCATCTGCAGAACAAAGTAATTTTTCAGCACAAGCCAAGTTTAATTTATTTCTTTCAGTAAAGTTTATCACTGGACTGAAAATTGTAACCTTTTTACACTCCATGTATCAACACAAAGCTCAATTCCAAGGAATAATCTTAGTGCTTAAGAAAAAGCTGATTTCCTGGAGATGGTAATAAAAACATCAAAACTGACTAGAAAAAGTAAACAGGAAAAACTATTTCTGAGAGATTTGTTTTAAACTTACCAGAAGACAAAAAAGACATGATTCTGCACCTGCAGAATAACTATTTTGTTTCAGTAGCAAAGACAGCAATATACATAAAATTTAATTTTTAACAAACAAAAAAAGGAGGCAGAAAAAGAAAACTATGAAGAGTTCAGTAGTACAAAAAAAAAAAAGAAAGAATTAACGGGCATAAAAGAAAACTCCATCACAAGCAGGGTTACAGTAAATATAGGACAATGTAAGAAAGGCACAGGATCTTGAATAAACTTGTTAACAAGGCAAAGGTCAAAAAATTTACTATCTGCTGCCATGTTTTGGAAAAGACAAGTTATCACCCATCATGTGAAAACACTGAAAAACATGTTCCAATAGGGAGCAAATTCTATTTGGAACAACATTTTGAACACAAAGCCTTGATAAATTTTGATTAAAGTATCCAAAAAGCTTTGGTTGATTTTATTTCTACTAAGTCATGAATAAAAGGGGAAAAAAACTAGTCAACTGGAAAGAATATTAATGCTGTAGTAATCTTCAAAGGCCAAAATAGTATGATCCAAGCAAACATTATGCTGGTGACCTTGATAGCAATGCCTCACATAGTAATGGAAATACTGACTAAAAGCTGCAGAAAATGTTATACAGTAAAAACAGGTAATTGTAGCGTGCAAGCGCTAGATAATGTTGAAAGGGGTTTTCGTCTTGCAGAAAAAAAAATAGTGACTAATCGCTGCAAACAAAACCCAAATGTATTCAGGATGGAAATAAGGCATCAATTTAACAGGGAGAGGTACTAACCACAGGAATAAATGACTGGCTTTGAATCCAGACTCCTTCTGGAAGATATGTCTGTCAAACTCCTGTTTCTTGGAAACAACACAGGGGTACCTGCATGAAAGGTGGGGCATGTTTCTGCCCACATTAACACTGGAATTACAGGCAGAAGAGGTCAATATCCAGAGTGACCTACTTTGGACAAGCTCAGGGCTGGAAAAAGCAGATCTACACGAACATCTGGTAGTGAGGTGAATCACAGAATGGCAAGGGTTGGAAGGGACCTTGGGAGATCATCTAGTCCAACCCTCCTGCTAATACAGGTTCACCTCTTGGATCTCTCTGGACTTTCATCAGATTAGATGAACAAGTTACATAGACCTGCATTATTCTCAACAACAAGCTATATGTATGATCCAACTGAATGAAGATGGGCTCCCGTAAGGATTTTATATAGTTCTTTGCTATGTTACGTTATTCTGAACTGAACACAGCAAATAAACAGGGAGAGTATTGTCCTATGAAATAGCTGAAATAATTTATAAGTCTTTCAACTTTCCCCCCCTTTTTTAATTAACAAAAAAGGTATTAAATTTCTGTTTTTAACACAGAAAACCTTGATACCTTAAATCTAGCTTACAAGGACATCTTTAGGTATACAAACTTATCAAGAAAACAGTGGCCACTTACACTGGCATGCTGTGAAGAGACCTTCTAAACAAAAGACAAAAAAAACCAACCCACTTAACAGACAAGCATTTTTTCTATTTGAATTTCTTACCTCTGTCAGCATGGATACAATTGCATTGAGAATAACAATGATGAGAATTCTTAAGCGCCACTCATATGGCACACACACGAGCTGTGAGAAAAAGTTGCCAGAGGTTAGCAACAGACATATGAAGTAAACACACATTAAAAACAGGCTCAGAGTTATAAATTCTCCCTCTCCCTCTCTAAAGGGGTCAAGCTTGCCCAAAAAGCAGCCAACCAGTTATCCCAGGAAGTACAGACACCTGCATATCTTACCTCAAGAAATGCGTCAATAGATTCAACAGGATGCAACATGATGAAGAATATGAAAACATAAAGAGCTATCACAGATATTACAAACAGAACTGTAAAAGAAGAAAAAAAAATTAATCAGACCATCTCACAATCAGAGTTTTAGACAATTTTTCCATGTATCATAGGTTCATTACTCCCTAGAAATACTCTTTTCACCCTCTAAAAACCTTTCCAGATGGATTTTGGCAATACAAGTTGTGCCGATAGCAGACAGAAGGCCAGACTCAATTTCCCACTGGCTCACTTGTGGAGCCGGAATGTATATACACATATAATTCCACAAATAAAGCAACTATTAACACAAATTTCTCCATACAATTTAATACTTCCCTATTTCTGTCTCTGATTATCAGGGGACAATTGTACTATGTTCTCCTAGCAAGACTATTACTGCTGAACTGGCACAACAGAACTGTAAGCAAGCCATGGATGAATAAGTGCAAAGTCACTTCAAGTTTTACTTGGAACTGTATATAGTAAGAAAGGACTTACAATTTTTGTAGCACGGTTGTCTGAAGGGCTTTCCTTTAGAAAAGACAATTGCTACTATGAGGTACTGAAAGCTGGATATAAAAAACAAAGTTGTGTTTTCATAATTTTTAATGTTATGTTCATCCTCAGAAGTGTCATTCCCATGGTGTGCAGAGCTGGTGTTTGTGGCATCCAATACATTACATGCACTACAACACAAAAAAAACCAAACAAAAAACATTCAACAATGAGTTAAGGAGAAGATGCAAACAAGGCCTACTTATTATTAGAAGTAATGACAGAATGAATTGCTACAGTAGTTAAAAAAAGCTTAACCTTGAAAACCTATTACAGGTAGTAAGAAAGAATTCAAAACTGCATCAGGGATGCAGCAATTTCTGTGAATTCTGAGCTTCGAGTTCTTTTCTGCTTCCAGCTTGTAAGTGCGCTACACGAGCGGTTTAGAAACTATACTGTAGATACACTTTGAAGACAGGTAGGAAAGCGCTGCAATATAAAAACAGACTAAAACACCTCTTCATTTGAGAAATATGAATTTGATTTACTGGAGCTCTAACAGGAGAGCAAAACTTTATAATATAGAAGAGTTAAAATAGGTCTGAGCCATTAATTTTGAATTTCAATCTCAACTGTCCCGAAGTTGAGAAGTCTTCAGACCTGGCAGTCTGGCTCTGACCCAATTCTGCATTTCAGCCACTGGGTAACTCCTATGTATTAGTATGCTCTGCACAAAAAATTCAGCAGACTAACAAGCTGCCATACAGAAGCTTTATTTACAAAGTCCCCAAAGGGGGTCAATAAAGAAGAGAACAATTATTGCCTATAGCTTTCCGATCATTACTGTGTCCTGCATGGAGCCACTGAAACACTTACTCAGATTCCACTGTCCAACGCTCATACCAGGGCTGCTGTTTGACCCAAAAAAATCCAAAGGTTTGGAAAGCAAGGCAGATGATGATCTGAGACAAAACTGAACACAGAAGTGGACCTGAGATAAGACCTGATGGAGGCCTTCGCGCAACAAGCTCCTTCCAAGCAGGGTTCAGACTCACTGCGAAGAGAAAGAAAAATAAATTACACATGACATCATTATGGTTTTCAAGAGTTACCCTGTTCACATTCTGTAGAATTAAAATGGCTTGCTCACAACATTACTTTAAAAATTAGTCCAGAATTGCAAGTGTGAAACCACCCTGAACAGATTATACTGCACTAGAATAATGCCACAGTGCCTTCTATAGGCTGGCTACCCCCAGCAGCACAGGACAGCAGAGGACAATAATAGAAGCCATGAGACTTAAGGAATTAGTAGTGTCTGGCCAAATTCCCTTTGTCTGGCACAGGAACTTACAGCTCATCATCTCAGTTTTGGTCTGCCATTGCTTCAAAGCAGCAGTTTCTATTAAACTTAAAAATGGAATTCTACTGTTAGCCAGCAAACTGAGTGCTAGGTTCACATGTGCAATCAAGTATTTCACTAGGTAATAGTTTTCAAGCATAACATTTTGTGGACAGAAGTTCAACTAAAAACACAAGATATCAAAACATTTGAGAAAGATGATGTTGGAACAACCCTTGTTTTGATTCCAAAAACAGTTTCCTCATGTCAGTAGGGGTTTATGACTTCCTCTACTGTGAAGAACTACTTTCCTAAGATCATGCCCATGACCTGCTTTTTGTAGGAGAACATTTCACAAACTCATATAACTCAGTACGCAGTGGTTTGGTTTTTTTAACGCATATACTGTAGTAGTCATAATATCTTAACTGTATGTCACAGTGCTTACTCCAAAATGCTCCATATTAAAGAAAATTTGACCAAGCAAAAAACTGCTTTATAGAAGCCAGCAGGGGTAATTCAGCAAAATACTTACTAGTGAAGACAACCACCAAAATGATTGCCATATCAATGAAGAGAAACTGGAAATCCCCCAGATTGCTCAGGATCTAGACAGAAATCACAGCTGAAACACTGGTAATTTCTTCTCACCAATAAACATCTTACAGTGACACTCTTACGGCATTAATTCTTTAAATCTCACTCGATAAGCATGACAGACTCTTACCAGAGACTTACTGGCTTCCTTTATCTGCAGGAGCCTTGAGTACTCTACAATTCACAGATTAACTCCCGAAGTATCAAGGCATAAACTGATTTCAGTTTCAAGATACATAAGCTATTTGTAATCAAAATTTGTTTGTAATCAAATTTACATTACTGAACCTTACAAACCAATGAAATAATAGGTTAGGTCCACACAGTTCTCTGAACACCATAACTTTACTATGTAGTCTCATAGTTGTCAAAATTTCTACCTCAATGGTCCTTTAATACTTTGCACATGTAACTTACGCGGAATACAAATTAAAGTACATGATTTCTAATACATGCCATATTGTGAATCCAGTCATATTAACAGGAAATACTCCACTTTGCTTCCCCTGCTCCAACTCCATACTTGCAGCTGCTCTCTTTCAATCCTTACAATAAAAGGAATGCATTACCCTTAAATAAAGTTAGGCTAGTTTAAAATGCTGACAGTTTTTAAATAATGGAAAACTGTATTTATATGCTTGTTTGGACTTCCCACTGTAGAGACTTTCTATTGACAGGCATTAGTTAATGCCATTTTTAAATAGATACTACCATGGTTTTCACACAGTAATATAAGAAAAGGCAAAAAATACTAACAATACTTTTAATCCAAAGACAGTTTTTTGAACATGGGTGTTGTGTACTCAAAGAGACTTGCAACAATTTATATTAAATATCTATCAATTTTCAGATCTCTGAATTACGTTGACACTGCTTAAGCACAATTAAATACTTACAGAATATAGCAGAGTAACACTGATGTACTGGATAATGCTGTATAATGCCATGAACTTAAATACACAGAATGAAGTTATTAGAGCAGCACGGCCTTCCCTGTCAAAACAAATGCAATCATGTAACTAGAAAGCTTTCTGTGTGAGCCGTTAAACTCTGCTTAGCAAAACCTTAGCTGCAATTAAACATATCAGCAAATCCTTTGAGGGACATATAGGCTGAAGACATATGGAGAAAAAGGGGTCAGAACAGTACACTTTCAAGTACATCAAAGTTGTGAGCATGCCTTCTGAACTGAGCCCCCAGCTTACTTTGGTGTTCTTTGGACTTCATGTGGTTTTCCAACAGAGGGTTTAAAATTAAGGTCTGCTTGCAAAAGCATCTATGAAGCACTTCTTTACTGCATGGAATATACATGCAGTCAGCCACAGAGTTGCTGACTTCAGAAATGTTTGATTACACATTACTTCATTCGTTCCACACATACTTAACTAGATTCTTCTCTGGCTGACCTTTGCCCAAAGTTATACCTAATTTCCAATTCTAGAATCAAAAATTGGTCAAACCCTATCTAGAAAATTTGTTTTCTACTTTGTAAAGAAACAGAACTACTAAAAATGTATGGTTTGTTCTTTGATTCAAACTGGCCTCCTACAGCATCACATATACTAACATAGGGTATGCAAAACAAGTTACACAGGCACATTTAAGTTCACATTAAGCGGTATTACCTGATCAGCTTTGGCACGCAGGAAATACTAGGTGTCCTGGAAGTGAACGGTGATGCCACAGAAGCCTCAAGTTCAGACAAAGATATACCACCATGTGCCCTCTTTAGTGCCTGCCAGTTAAGATTGAAATAGAGAATGTTTTAAAACTTGCTTTCATCTGTATAATTTAACTGAACAGTTCTGTACGGAAAATAAAAATATACTTACGCCACAGTCATTTGCTCCATCTCCACACATGCCCACAGAGTAACTATAAAAACCAAACAGATGTCAGCATTCTGGACCATTCTCTGATCATAGTCCATTTAGCTTATTCCATTAAATACCTCTGTATTATTTGACTTATCCAGGATTTGCACAATAGTGAGTGACTGTTAATGCTAAAAGCAATTACTGTTCCCATTATAGAGAGAGATATATATAAAAGGAAGAAGATGGAAAAGTAACATGACTTAGCCAGGTCAATCAAACCAATATGGTTATCAGCCCTCTATCATTCCAAGGTTGTTTAAAGCATCTTTGCTCTTGGCAAAGAGACTTTTGTAGTATTTTGTATAGCTGCAAGGCCCAACACCAACAGACAGTATACCAACCATATATGAGCAGAAGTCATCCCATTAATATTTCTTTAATACACAGAAGACATTTGTTGGATTTGGTTATTAAGCCAAGCAACCAGATTTATAAAATGTTAGTCAGTTTAGTTATTTATCATTTATAAGTTAATGAAAAGTCTGAAATAGGCTGACTTACTAACTCAATGAAGTTATATTAGCCCCAACTTTTTCATCCGGCAAAACAGCTTGCAGCATACATAACTTTTTTTTCATACCACACCAAATACACTGTCAGCTCTCCCACTTTCTGTGCTTAAGCAAATACTTACTCTACATTTTGTAAAGCTTCCACCAACTGAGTTTTCTGATCAGGCGCCATGCGAGCAAACACAGTGCCATGTAACACAAGCTGGAAGACAGAAGATTTCTTAATGCAATGCTCTCTGAAGAGAGAAGTCTGTTCACCATCAAAAGTGCTGCTCATGCTCAGGTAAAATGCTCACCTTGGGTACCAGGTCCTGAAAATGCTCCAAAATCACTGCAAATGACTTTCCATTCATTGCAAAATGGTATTTGGTCATCTGGAGATCCTCAAGGCTTTCATGGACCAATTTAACTGGAATATCCTATCAAAAGTAGTTTAATACTCTAGCTGTAGTGTATTTATACAGACACCTTGTCATCTCAAGGGTTATTCCTAGAGATCCCACACTAAAGAAGGTTTCTAAGAATGTTACTGGAAAGAAAACTTCATGCAATGAACACACTTCAGTAATAACGAAATGAGGTTTAATGTTTCAACTACAAGCAGGTAGAGCAGTCTTAACAGATTGAAATGTGCAGGAGACAGGGTTTTTTCCACAAATAAAGTGTCAAATATTGCACCACATTTAAAAAACTAGCTCCCCCAGCTGTTTCAGTACTCTTTGGTAATTTAAGATTTGAAAGTTAACTAGTACATCAATTTTGATTTGACACTTAACAGCAGATCTGCTACTTGACGGAATAAGATAAAAAGAAAGAAACTCGACAGTAAAACTAACTGCTTATGCTCTAAGGGCATAATAATGCTCATATTACCTCTGAGTTTATGGCTGGTGATGAACTAGTGCATTTTGCGAGGGAATCTGCATAATGCCAGTTGATCCTGGCAGCCTGCCCATCCTTTGGAGGTAGTGCTTCAGCAATAATGACCTTATCCTGAGGTAGAATCATTCCACAGTCTCTGGCCACAGAGATAGCAGTTAACAAGTTATCCCCTATTAAACAATCGCACGTAAAAAGGTTTGAGTTAGAAAAGGATCAATAGCATACACTGATACTCCACATAAGAGAAAAGCTAACAAAGGCAGTTTTAACTAGGAAGACTGCCTAATGGACCAGTGGCAACCTTAGGGCAAACTGAGTCTACAGACAAAATTCCAGGTCCAGCCCACTAAACCCCTCCCCTGCACTAGCATCATTAGAAACTTTGTGTGCTTCTTTCAGCCACAAAGATCTCTCATTGACCAAATCTAAAATCAGGCAGAAAACGTAGAGCCATTTAAAGTACTGCTTTTTAAACGTGGTCACAGATCATGCAAGACACCCAGCTGTATTGCTAGCCTATCAAAACACTATTCCAAAGGCACAACACCTGTGATTTAAAAAACCCCACACACATATTGCATGCAAAACACTGAGCAGATACCTAGCTCACTTAGGGGAATAGAAGAAGTCATTCTTACACACAAAAAAAAAAAAATCCATTGCAAAGTGACTTATAATTAAAAATGGTAGGGACCTTCAGGAGGTCATCTAGGCCAACCTCCTTCTCAAAGCCGGGCCAGTCATAAGAGTAGACAGGACTTTTACCTAGTCTGATTTGCAAAACCTCCAAGGTTTTCCCACTCTTCAATTCAGCATAAAGTCACTTGTGCATGAAGCTAGGGAGAGGAAGCTACACCATAGAATTGACCCCCATACTGGTTTCTGATCTCTGACTTACCAAAGCAACTTTCACCCAAAAAGAAACAGATTGGTGTCTGAATATCCTCACAATAGTTTGTAAACTTCCCTCTTGCTATACACAGAGTATAATTTCAGCCTACTGACACTAAAATTTTACTTTATACACTACAATTAAAAGACCAAAAGAGAGACAGATTTTTATCTTTTTGAGTATGAATGTTTACATGCTAACCTGTAACCATGACAGTGCGAATGTTGGCTTTATGCAAATCTTCAAGTACAGCAGGGGTTTCTTGCTTTAGCTTGTTTTGCATTATAATTAACCCCATAAAATCCATGTTGCTTTCAATAGCATCCCTGTAGAAAAGGAGGCAAGGAAAAGAGCAATTGTTAGATGTAGCTTAAAGAGCCTGATTTTCTGTTTATCAAAGTAAAAGGAAATGTTTATTTTTAACCATTAGAAGCAAGAAGAACTTGCTTTCTAAAAAGTGACCCAAGAGGTATCAACATTAACATTCATTTATACTTATTTCCCTTTTTTTAGTTTAAAACCAGTATAAGCAGCAGCTTTTTAGTTTCTTCCACGAATACTCTTTCTAAAAGAAATTACATTCCAAAAAGAAAGGTCATCACTAGAAAAAATGCTCTGAAACTACCTGCATTCACAAATTTTAAGATTTGTCTAGAATGCAGATTGGTCATTTCCAAATTAGCTGAACCTTAACATACTAAGCTACCAAATATATGTTACCAAGGCTAGTAAGATTAACAAAGTAAAGTAACTAATTAACTTTGTTTTACATGAAAGTCAGGGTATTTACCAGGTCTTGGGTACTCTACCACTACTGTAGATTTTCACACCTGAAATTGGAAAACCCATTTCTCTGCTTTGTACTGTTTTGCAAAAAGTTCATCTTGTGCACAGAGCTGATACAGAAGAGTGTCAAAATTGGCATTTTCATAGTGATGCTGCACTTTCAAACACAATGGAAAAGATAGCATTATCCACAAAACTAGGGCCAGCTGAAGAGTAATTAACAGGAAACACAACTCTCTTGGAGGAAGAAACCTTTCTACCTTCCAAACCTTTGTGACAAGCTTTGCAATGAGAAAATGGACATGCTGCCTGCAGCAGACGAAGCAACTAAATCAAACATGCACATGAGGGTTTCTACTACATGCCATTACCTTCAGACACAGATGATATAAGTACGTTCAAGTGACAAAGATGTCGGATGAGGTTTTCTGCCACATTAGCATAAACTAAACCTCGTGAAGAATTATTATTGCAGTTCATTTCAAGATTAAAGATGTTCCTCAGAATTCACATTATTGCAGAAAAACTTATCTTAAATTTCTATGTATTATCCAGGGCACAAGTAAAGAATGCACAGAACTACATATGACAAGACAGAAGAAAGCTAAAGAAGAGTAGTAATTGATTTAAACAAAAAATAAACATTGCATAATTGAGTCAAAGCATGCAGCTTTTAAAGCCTGTTACTTATTTAAAAAGTCACTCTTACCTATTAATTGTCTGGACTTTGTGCCACGTAAGTTTAGACTCCAATTTTCTGTGAGCAAGAGCAATAACTCGGAAGCCCTGCTTTGTGTATTCTTCCAGGACACACTCAAAGTCAACAGGAACTTTAAAAAGGTCAAGTTTAGAGTTATTAAAATTATTCATATTACAGCTGAGCTACACAAGAAATAAAAATAGTTTGTTCCTTTACCTGTTTCCTGCTTACACAAGCTGGCAATCACTTCGGGGGCACCTTTCATGTAAGCATCCATTCTCTTCTCCCCTAGAACTCTCGCTATTACACACATACGTTGCAGAACTGAAGAAAATGGAAACTGGCGCACAATTCCAATCTCATAACTAGTCTGTGTCATACAGGAAGGAAGGAAGAAAAGGGTTACATCCACACACATTCTGAAAAAGAGAGGTACGTGTTTAATTGAAAAAGCATACTTACCGAAAGCTCAAATAATTCCTAAAAAAAGGAAAAAGACATTTACTGTAAATATGCAATTTTAAGTATTTTTTCAGCTACAAACTATTTCAACATAAATCAGTAAATGAATCTACATGAGACACAGTAGAACTCCCGCTACCCTGCGCTGTAATAATCTGGATATACAGTCATGTGCTTAAATTTCCCCTCCTGTTCAAAAAAATACCTCAAAAGGCAGACAGAAGAAAATTTTAAATGTGCACGTAATTAAAACACACATCTCTAAGGTACAAGGGTGCCAAAAATTCTGTACTGTGCAGTGACATCAACAAACAGTTGTTTTAACTGAAACTGCAAGGTGAGCACACCTAAGCACTTCATTAGCACAGTAATAATTTGGTAATGATAACTAGTATTAAAATGCGTAGGCTCAAAAAGCATTACAGTACTTTATAACCAGTCTGTAAGGGCAACGATGCTTGCAATCAGTCTGCTTATCTTGAAAGTGGCATATACTGAACCATTACCATCAACAACAGCTTAAACATATTTTCTCTACCTTTGCTATCAAAAACGAGTTTTGATCCTGTTTGAATTGTATCAGCCAGAACCACAGCATACGGTAAGATGTATTTGTTTAACACAAAAGACTATAACTCAAAGAATTGCTTTGAATTTTTATACCATTTCTTGATTTGTTGCTTGCTTGGATTCTGGGAAAAGTTGTTTTGAAGGTCGAACCACTGTCGGCATGATTCGATTATGAAGGGCTGTTTCCTCTTCAGTTGCTTCTTCTAAAATCTGTATTAAAAATAATCAACTAATTTATTCATTCATTAACTTTGCTTTTCTCATAATGTAATTTTCAGAAAAAAAAAACCCAACAGCCTTGGAAGTCAGCCCAAGGTGCAATGATCTTTCTAAACAAGATTTCCTGTGAGAATTAAGTGTCTTAATTTAGCAGTTAACGCAAGATCCACTTAGCTATTTTAAATGTTTACTACATGCATTGAAACCTTGTCACACACATCTGAAAGCAGTAAATTAACTCTTCAGATTCTTTCAGTTCTATGAATTGTTGCACAGAACACATTTTAGGAACGTTTTTAATATTAAGTCTTCCTTTGACACATGGGCACTGTCAAAAGCCCACTGTTTTACAGTTACAGCTTGAAACAGCTTATCTTATACAAACAGCATAGGAAATTTCAGATTACTTAAAAATGTCGCTTCTCTTGAAACAAGCAGACACTTACCCATCCTATTGCTTCAAACATCTTCAAATCAAGCGGATCCCCAGAAAGTACCCCTTCAATTTTTGTAAGGGAATGACAAGTTGCCATGCAAGCAACAAACTCAGACTTCAGCAAGCTCTCACTGCAAGCCCTCTCTTCCGGTAAAAGGAAACTAAAACAATGAAGTTATAATATACTTAGCATAATAATTATTTATTATGAGCCAATTCAAGAAGTTTGTTTAGATTAACAGAAGAAAATTGACTGCACAAGCCTCTTCACTTGTATTTTCACACATCACAGAATGCAGATTAAGACTCTGGGCTGGAATCTTCAGAAACAGTCACAACTTCTGTCTCCTTCAAAAACTCTTGTGTTAATTCCTCATACAGAGGCTTCTTATCACTTTGTACTTAACTCAATTAGCTAAGCTAATTCATTTTAGCAGCCCAAGAAGTCAAGACTTGGGAGGACAGGATTAAGGAAACATGCTATACTTTAACTGCATCATTTCTGCAGTATGAACCTAACGAGGTGTCAGACTTTAACAAATTAAATCCCACCTCAGCCTTATAAGAGAGTTACAACTTTCATTACACCTAAACCGTATTTTGAGTTGCATTCTTACAGTTCATTACAGAAATGCAAACATGTCTGAGCTCACATTGAATCTTCCATCCTATTTTGCTGAAGCTGCTAAAACACAACAAAGTATCACATTTGCTTTGAGCTTATCCTTACCGAGCATTTTCCACCCGTTGAATCCCCCAAAGATCCAAGCCATCCTCAGTAAGTGTGCCAGTCTGCAAAATAAACCAAGGGGCATGGCAAGAAGAAAAAGCCGTCAGAAACAAGTTATCATCAGGTAAAGCAAAAATTAACACCTAATTAACCAAATTGAACAATGTATTTTATTTTGTTTTCCCTTAAAAAAATCAAGACTTTGGGACAGGAAATACAGTCTATCTCCCTTGCTTTTTGCTAGTAAGTAAGTTCCAACTCTGTTAAATAACTTAAAAAAAACCACATTCACAGCAATCATGCCCCTCCTTGGAGACAGGACAAATGAAACAGACCCTTAAAATCCAAACATGACAGCTCAACATCTCTGTATTCAGGGGTTAGGGGCAACAGAAAATAGGTACTAAACCCTAAGTACTACTTTATTACATAGCTATAACAGTAACTTGAATATATTTACAAAGAAAATAATGAATTTAGTGTGGGTACTTAAGATTTTAGATAAAAATCTGAGAAGGAAAATAAATTTTATCTAAGAATTAGCTAAAAAGCAAAGGATTCTGAGGAGTGGCGTTACTGTCTTTCACTCATGTTTCTGTTATGGAATAATAACAAAAATATGCTGGTTTGGCTTTTTATTGAAATAAATGAAAATGAGAAACAAGTCTGGCCTCACACTTCAATATTCCAGAAGCCTGTGTACTAACTAAAACTCCTGGTAGACCCCAACTCTCACATTTCTGGGGTGCTAGTAGTAAGATAGGACTTGGGAGTCTTGAGATAAGAAAGCAGCTCTGTATAACAACATTTTACAGCAGACTCAATTAAGTGACTTAACAAGTGGTAAACACTGAATACCTGGAAGCTAACAGGACTAACTTATACGAAAGTCACAAATTTTCTTGTAGTTGCTAGTCTATAGGAATTCCCATTTATAATACAATGCGTCTCCAGGTGGCAACACAGTTTCAAAATTCACCTAACCTTATCAAAACACACAAGATTCAGCTGGCCACAAATATTTATCCTTTGTGGGCTGATGCAGAAGATGCCAATTTTTTTCAACCGTCTTTGTGCATAAACGATGCCAGCAGTCAGGGCAGCAGGGAGCGCTGGAGGCACCGTGATAGTGATAATGTCAAGAGACTCAATGATGATGGTATGAGCTGGAACCTGCAATAAAGGTCAGAGTTAACGAACAAGAACTCTCTAGAAGATTCACTACCCCACTGAAGCGTTACATCACTGTTACCAAAAGCAAAATCCACACAGTGCTTTCCCCAGTACAGCATGATTTGGATTGCCCAGAAACTTGGCACAATCTTCACACACCATCAGCAACCATGATAATCCAGTCCTAAATTATTCACAACCCGTAACTTCAAGTTTTCACTTTTCCCCCTGCAAATATATTACTTTAAAACAGTAAGTGAATAATGAAAAAAAAAATTGGAGAGAAAAAAATTACAGTTGTCAAGTTATCAGTTATCAATTTCTTGGTATGGATTTTTTGCCTGCAGTATGCTTTAGGTGTGCTATATCCTATTTCTTCCAACTGGATATCAGTCTGATGGTAATCTTACATATAATAAAGATAAAAATCTAGTAATTAGGTCAGTAGAAATTGAGGTAAACTCAAATTTTACTGTAATACATTCAAATTCTGCTTCTCTGCTGAATTTTGTTCTCAGTAAGCTTGTCTTTCTCATTCTCTGTATACAAAATAAAGCAAAGACATTTTCACTTAAAATCAAATTGTTTCTCATCATCTGAAGTATGCTGGAAATCATGATCAACCTTTTTCTAAAATAAGGCAATTCTGGACTAGAAATGAAAACATACCTCATTTAAGATGCTATTGACAACCGTGTAAAGAAACCCAATCCCTGCCACCACTACCAGAGACAGGAGAAACAAATAGGCATCCCTGTAGAGTTTAAAATCGGTTGGCTTTGGATATAGTATGGAGCGCAGCAGCTGCCCTTTAGCAGTACTAAAGCCTAGCAATAAAAAGAGGTAAGTTATTAAAAGTATAAACAAGAGCAAAGATTTTCAAATATATTAAAAACCTCAATGAAACCTTTAAGCCACTCATTTCATTAAGGCTGTTTCTCAATATGCAGTAACAGATGTTATGCAATACTGTAATTAAGGTGCTTCAAAAATGTATGTGCACATTCTACTAAGTGCTTCTCTCCTATGGCAAGGATATGCAGCTGATGCAAATGAACCCCTCTTCTACAGCAGCAGTAAACCCTCAAATGGTTTGGCCTGGAAGAGTTTGTTGTACCGCCATTATCCCTCAGTGCAGAACTAGTGGGTCTATTTATTAGTTGTTTAATTAAGCCAGTCCTTGCAAAAAGGAAAAGAAGCTATTCATAGAGTCCAACCTTAAGTACTTAAATGGCAAGTCTCTGTAAGCACCCTTGACAGCCAGAAAGATTGATTCAGAAAAAAACCTGGACTGCACAGAGTCATCTTTTAGAGAAACCTACCTCTTGATCGCATTCTGACACCTGAACGAGGAGACTAGACTTCTAAGGGTCTTAGAATCAGGCAACTAACAGACACCCTGAGATCCTCCTTGAACCTTTGCCTCAACACACTAAGAGGCCAACACCGGTGCCCAATTTTGTGTTCCTGAAACGTTTTGTGTCTGCTTAGGACTTCGAAGTCTAACCTCGATACCAATGTCAGGTCTGCTGGCATTAGGGACAGCTCCTTGACAGCTTCTCAGTCTGCAAGCCATCACAGCGAAGGCTAAGCCCTCCACACTGATATGTGTTCTACCAGAATGGAGCGGGGCTATTGCATCAGTCTTAAAGAAGATGAGTTCATAACAAGAGGCACAAGGCATAAAGCCTCCAGGCTTTGAATTTGCTACTGCAGAATACAAACCATGGGCCCATTCAGAGAAGATCAGTATATACTTGAGCATTTAGTCATGCATGCTTTGTAATTTGACACAGCAGTCAAAAACAAAAAATCAGAACTACTTTTGGGGGTTTTTAATGGTTTTGCAGAAGGTTCTGTAACCACATAGGCTAGAATACACCAGGGTAAAGCAATAAATGAAAACCTCATGTGGTGTCTTGAGAACACATTGGACATACAAATAGCTTCAGTGAACATTTCTGTTCCCTAAAAAAAATTACCTGTTTTGAATTCTTTACAATTACAATAGGAGCCACAATGACATACACACTAATATATCCATGAACTGAGTTTCAGGAACAAAAAAAAAAAAGAATACATTTAGTTTATCGGGATTTTATGTATATTTCAGGTGTAACATCAAACATTTCACATTAAAGGCTTAACTCTGAAGAGTATTGCGAGTACAGTCCCAGCAGATCAATCTTATATGCCAATTTACATTAAGACTACACGTCTTTGCACACAACCATAGGGAGTTCTGATCTCCTAGAATTCTTTTAAGGACTAAATTTTCTAGTATCTTCAATTTTGGAGTATCCCCCTTTCTCAGATAAAGGGACTTTTACTTGTATCTCACTAGGTAACAATTTCTTTAGTTCTTACTATTGGACATCTTAGGGGAGAGAAGTTGCAAGCGCTGTGACATTTATACAGCTCTGTGAAATGGGCAATTCCCTACTTGCCTAAAAGCTGTCCCAGTAAACCAGACAGGAGAACAGGAAGAATTTTATATTCCTTTGCTCCTCTCTCTATATATAGCCATAGCAGGAAAAGTGTACTTGTCCATACATAAAATCCGAACAAGGTCCACAGTGTTAAATTCATCCTGTTTACAACATAGGAGCTAACTCTGACCTATCATGGGCAAAGAGCAGATTAAAAAAAAAAAAAAAAACTTTGGATGTCAGGGCAATAAGACTCGGTGTGTTGGAAGCAATTACAGTTCTCCTTGTTAAGAGGTCCAGACCATGGTTTCAGACTTTAAAAAAAAAAAAACCAAAAACATTATCCTTCCTGCAGAGTAGAAGAAATAAGTCTTCAGCAGTTTATTTCTGTTCCTCTTTTGGACCACCTATCTGTATATAGACTTCAGGCTGGGCACATAAAATTTCTTATTTAAGAAACAAAAGAAGTCGACATGGATATTATTAAAGGGGAGATGTGTTCAAGAGAAGGGAAATATTTTTCCTTGGGGAAAAAAAAAAAAAAGACTAATAAAAGCCTCTAGAAAGACATTAATGAATTTAATAAAAAAATCAGTACATTTACTGCTAAAACAGACTAACAGAAGGTGAAGAGAAGACACCAGAGAAAGAAGAGACTAATTAGGATGAAGTTACTTGTTGGAAAACCTGCTTTAAGTAGCATTCCATCAATGTAGCCAGATTTATCCTATCCAATTCTGTTGTAGCTTGGATTACAGCTTACATTCATCTGTTTTGTGGTGCGTTTCTTTAGATCATCTTTGTAAAGCAGAATCCCACAACTACGTTAGTCTGTGCAACTGTTTCTAATAGAACATCTGTATTACCTAAAACCAAACCTTTACCATACTAGCATGAATAAGCACTTCTGTGGAAAGGGCTAGATCAAACACATTATTTTAAGCAAATGTTATGTGCTTTAACAAAACTATGGGTAAAGAAAAACATTTGACATTGCCAATGACCCAACTAAAATAAGCTGTTCCTCATCACCCACCCAACCCAATAGTTTGCCAAACCTTTTCACAGAGGCATATGTAGTTCAACTAACATGCTATAAAAGACAGCTGAAAGACCTGAAAATACATTCAGATAAGTTTTAAATTGATGCTAAAGACTGATTCACGCTCTTGCTTGCCAGCTGATACTCTCCAGGCCATTGTCTAGTTCTATTATCGTTGTAAGACATGTATCAAATTATTTGGGGTGTACTCATATATCCAAGCTTAGCAACATTCAACACAATACACAAAAGTATTAGTTGACATACACCTATAAAAGCAAGTAGTATGTGAAGAAGTGATAAACTTAACAATCAATACCTGTTCTCACTACTAGAGCTTTGACCAATTCTCCAGTGTAAAAACGGGTCTGAATGACATTGGTTCCACAGAACAAAGTATGCCGTTTATGCACTTCTGGACTGTATATTTCATCTCCCATTGCTTTCGGATATTCGGAAGGATTTGGTAGATTAATCTTTGTGACAGGTACACTTTCCCCTTAAATGGAAAAAGAGTATCTAAGCAAGATCAAATAAGAATGAACGTTTTTTCCTTCACAACATCAAGTAGAACAACGTAATCTCACTTCAGCAGCACACAAGCGAGACTTACAGTAGAAGTCATCTTCCATTCAGCACATTGTTAGGTAGTCTCTCACCTATTAGCCTCAGCTCAGCAGATTCCTTATCCAAATCCTATCTAACTCTTCATTATTCACCAATACAGCTTTTGTGCCTCTTATTTCAGATAGGTGTAAAATACATTTCATTGAAAGAAAACAGGACAAGCTCCCTTCTCCTGCTGCAAAGCATCAACCCATCTTTACTCAGAAAAACTAGAAGCTGAAGAAAATAATTCTCAGTGCCTTTGGTGACTAAGTACGCTCAAGCTAGGGCTGCAATCAATTTTTATCAGTAGCAGCAGCAAGAAACTCAAGCATATTCAAAGAACTGAATATGATAAAATGCACAATCTCTGAACTACAATTTTCTAAATGCTGACAATTTGGACAGTTTATCCAAGGAATAACAAAAAGTCCATCCTATTCACTAAAGCTGACCTTCAAATACATCAAGTCCCTGGTTTCAGAGTATGCAGGCATAACCTGAGATAATAAGTTCTGGTTTTAAATACAGCAGAACATCATACTCACTACCTTCATTCTTGGAAGCAGCTAAAAAGTGTGGGCAAAAATTTTCTGAAGAAAAATACTGCAGAACTCAAACTGCACTGAGAACACCAAGTCAAGAAGCAGGAAGACAAACTATCAAGAAGAAAGCTTTCCAACAAGAAACCACCACTCATTTTTGGAGTTGCCAAGCAGTACCAGGTAGCTGTTGCAGATAAGCAGAACACAAGTACATAAGTACTTAGAAGCATGTCTAATTACAAGAACATACACATTTCAAGCAAAATAAACATATCCTCTTCTGCTACAGCACACTGCAAGTTAAGCATGCACACAGGTATAAACTAATACATTTAGCCATGCAAAACTGTATCAAGTTTACTTTACCTGTTAACATACTTTCATTTACAATGCAAGTACCACTGAGAAGTACTGCATCACAGGGCATAATTGTCCCATTAGATGGAATTAACATGATATCTCCAGGCACAAGGTCGGTGGAAAGGATTTCTTCTATTTCTGAGTGTTAAAACACAAATAAGTTTACCTGAAAACAGACACCATTTGCAAAACCTGATAAAGATCCTCACAGCTAAGATCCAGGTGGTGACAAGATTATGCTCCATTTCATTAATGGCATTATGAAAAGTTTTTGAAAATATATAGAAAAAGCCATTGATAAACCCAATTCCATCACAGATTAAACTCTAGAGCACATGGATATAGTTCACCATAACAAATTAAAGGAATCTTGTACAAAAGATACTAACAATTAACTAAAGTACAACTTCAGTATAAAGACATAAGTCCAACACAAACGCATGTCTTACAAAACAGTATCACACACCACAACCTAACCATCTTCCACTACTGTAGTATCCAAATGAGCAAAAGTCCAGCAATCAACTGGCAGCCCCTACTGGGTAATAAACTGTAATGGAAACTCAACGCATGCACATCTTTAAGCCAAGAAAGAAACTACAATGACAATCACCTATGTGAAGTGGTAGACAATGAGAAACAAGACTAGGACAAGCACCTCATCTAAACACACCTGATGAGACTTGCTAAAAATACCATCTAGAAGGATAACCCTGAACAGGTGATTATCCTATCTAAATTCCACTTTGCAACTTCACCTTTTCCCATGCAATTTTGCTAAGAAACACAAGCATTTCAAGCTGATCAAAGAAAGCACAGATGCACACCAACTTTACACTCACACTTAATGAACAATTTAAACTCCACCTTCCAAACCGTCTGTGAAATTTACCTTGGTTTCCTCTGCAGACAGAAACCCTGACAATGCTGTGAGCTGCTACCATGTCATGTAACACAACATATTGCTGCAGAGGGGAGAAAACAGTTTATTATTTGAAAGCACAGCTTGTCTTCTAAGTGCTCATTCTGCCTCTACAAGCAGAAGTGATGAGATTCTTTACCAACATTCTTTTACAACAAAATGTTACTAAAAACATTCTCTTGGGCTTAGTTTAGGAAACTTATGGGCAAATAAAGTTTAAGTGCATCAACCTGTGCAGGTTCCTACTTTTAACAGCATTCTGGAAACAAATACATACTGCTACACAAAATGGTATAAAAACATTTGGTCATTAACATACACAAGTAAAAACTGCAGTAGTCATATGAACTTGGATTAAGGCAACAGGGGTTCTTTTATCTCTGATCTGAATTCAAGGATTGCAATTTAAGGATAATTACTACTTTGATTTCCATCAGCTACAGCTAAGTCTACAGAAAAAAGATGCATCACCAATTTAATAGTCTACGCATTTGGCTGGTGCTCAGTTCTGTTGGACTTTTTCAAACAGAAGTAGACAATGCAAGATGGAATCGCTACTGTCAATAAAACTGAATTTGTGTCCAGGTTTCGTTTAAGTGAGGTAGTGTTTCTGTTACCTGAGGTCAACCTACTGATTCAACAGCACGGAAACTCAGCAGAGAGGGGTCTTGAAGAGAACTGTAAATCCAAATTCTTTCAGATCAAAGAGGGAAAACCCATAAGAATATTCTACCTGCATACCTCTGAGAAATTCTTGAAGATTTGTAGGCAATTTCACATCAAAATAAACCAATCGGTAAAAAGCTGAAAAGATGCATCTCTTTGCTTTGAGCTTACCTTTCTAATGGTGTAGAGTGAACTAACAATGGATATTACAGACATGATCACAATTGCTAATGCATAGTAGTGATATTCATCAGTGATCCACAATATCACACTAAACAACTGAAAAATGTAAAAAGGGTTGAGAACCTAGAAGAATAACAGAAAATTAAAGTTACACCAAAAGGTCACATGCATTCTCCGTCAGAAGAGAGTCAGAAACATAATCCTCCTCCTCCATGGAGGAGATAAACCTTTCAGTTCTTCATACACTATTTTTGTCTCTTTTGCCAGACCGATCCCTCTTTTTCACTACTTCCTCGACCCCCAAAAGCACAGTTCTCACTAATACACAAATACATACTTTTAAGACTGCATGCATTTTCCCCTACACCTCAAAAGCAAAATGATAGTAACTTCTGATGCACTTTAAGTTACATTTCTTCAATTAATTTGGATTTTATTATCTATTTCTTCTTAATAAGTGCACGGACACCTCAAGTTCTTACTCTGCTAGTTCAGGTTGAAGAGTTTCTTTGTTCAAAAGTTTCTTTCATGCATTATTATAGCACATGGGTAACAAGTCAATTATTCAAACCCACCTGATACAAGGGAAATGGAACAAATCCAACAAAAATATGTGCAAGAATACATTTGATTTGATGCGTATGTTGTAATGTATAATCCCTCCCAAAGAATTCTGACACGTTTTCTAATATCCTTGCTAAGGCATCAGTTTGTGAACTCTGGAGAGCTTACAGCTAAGGCCTCTTAAGTTTGGAGAGCTGAAAAATAAAGGTCCATATCCTTTTGCTTTACAGTGCTGGGCTCTGTGGGAAGGTTTCTGGTTTACATCATTATTTGAAGACCAGTCCAATAGTCATTGTACTTAAAGTAATTTTAATTATTTTTTTTTTAATTTGTTAAAGAAAAGATCCTACCTCCTTAATCAGAAGCTTAAAAATGGAAGGCACTTTCACAGCAATTTCATTTGCTCCATAGAATGCTTTTCTGCATTAAAAAAATATCAAAAGACAGTTAAAAATTTTATTAGAAATCTTATTCACTTCAAAGTAATTCCATTAATATGAAAAAGTATAAAATATTACTTAATTTGCAGCCCCTTTTATTACCATATTGTTTCAGAAGGTGTTTATCAGAAAACATTTACCCAGTGAGATGTTTCAATACAAAGGTAATTATTTTATACTTCAATTTAAGCTGTAACTTAATTTTAATGCTCTATTCATAATAAGATTTCCCAATGAACTGTGTATAGGTCCAATGTTATCAAACATGTCATTCTGAAAGCCAGTATGGGGTTCTCATTCACTTAAGTTCAAAGAAGTGTTAACTCTTACCCTGCAGTAAGACACTGTTTTCATGGTTCTGTATCTTAGTTTTACTCTTAGCATGAAGAAAGGCAAATCATAAAAGAGGGAGGGGGACAAGAAACTAAACTCTGATGGAATGTGAGCTGGTTAAATGACACTGACATGAAGCAGCCCTTAAAGGATGTTATTAAAAGCCTTTTATTGTAAGAAAAGACACAAATTGACAGAAAAAGGGATGAGGAGCAAGCAGATACTTCCATATTTTAAACTCTAAGAAGGTCTCATTTGCAAAAAACCAGCTAGGAACGCAACAGAACCTAGAATAGTTTGGGTAGCGTACCAATAATTTACAACACCAATAATTAAATACATATCTACATTTTCATAATATATATTCCAGTTTTCTGTTCACATTTGAGAACTAAGCAATCCCTGAACTATATACCACTGAAGTTACATTTTAAAGGTTTTTTCTAGACTAAGTTCTTTTCTACCTATGCACTTCAGCTGCGTCCCCTGACAGGCATATTTACACCATTAGTCTAAAATAGCATATTAAAAGATCAGTATTTTTTCCCCAGTTATTTCTCACCAACCAGAATTAAAAGAAGTGAGGAATGCATTTAGCCCCAACCAGAGACATGCAAGCCTTGGGACACACCTGTGATACTAACCAAGCTTTTGAAATTAAAGCCAAAGTTCTGAGACCTGGGAAGTTTCAGCCTGATCTTTCTAAAATAAGAAATTAATTACAGTTTAGGCCAGGTTTGCTGCTTCCTGGCATCCAATATTCCTTATTAGCCATCCAGCACACCATCCCCGCTCTCACAATGACCACTAGCCAAGGATGGGAAAGAAAACAAGCAGCAGCAGCAGAGTGATCTCCCTCAGCACTCCCTTCAAGACTTCAACAATCTGAAGCTTGAGACAAATGAGCATCTTTCCAAAGAAAGCACTCTTGATGGACTTTTCCACTGGGAATCAGCCTATTTGCCTCTGAACCCACACATTCCCTTGAACAATGACAGTATGTTATGGTAACATTTATGTCACTTAAAGGCGAGTTGTGTGGAAAAAATAACCACTTGGTTTTATATCAACTGCCAAATTTCACTGTATACCTGCTAACGTGGTTGAAAACATAACTGCTTGTTTTTTTTTTGTACAATCATTTTATTTCAAAATGTTTAGTAGTGAATACAATTTCAGAAATATATTCTGAATTACTTTAAGCAATAGTTCCAATTCCCACGGTCAGTGTAGTTTGAGAAAAGTAAGTCAACATATCATCAGAGTCTAGTTCCTACTCAACATATAGGTAAGAAAACCAAGCCTCTTTTAAGGAAGTGTAAGAGCCTGTTTGTAAACACTTATCACTCAATTGTCTTCTACTTTTGTTAATACTTTGAGCACAGGTAATGGAACGAAAACAACTCTTCCCCCAAATACTATAAAATTACCTGTAATCATGCATTCCCTTTGTCAGTCCTCTGCTGTGTTCATTATGAATTGAAGAACAGAATGTAGATTCATCTAGACCTCTAAGCAAAGGAAGAAGTCAATGAGTTATTTAAGAAACCTGACATGATGACGAATTCAGTAACTCAAGAGAGCTCGGTCTTTGCCAAGAGTTACACTGCATTATAAAAGAACAAAGTCTATGTTTTAACATTTTTGTAGCTATTTTTGTCACAACTGCAGATACCAATGAGACGTTAAAAGCAGTCCTCTTGTTGACATGTCTTAGTCCATAGGAAGGATATCTATTTCAATCAAAATGGAGATACACTTTAAAAAAAATGAAGTCAAATACTAGCATAACTAGTATTCAAAGGCCTCTAAAAAGAAAAAGTGTGCAAGTTTTATAAAATATAGTACGTCAATATGAATTAATATTTCTTCAAATCATCTTTATTTGTCTCTAAGTGGTAATGGAAGCACTTTAGAAACAACTATTAATCAATATATCAAATAAATCTATACTGAAGCTATTTTGCAGCATCTTGCTATGAAAATTTTATCCATGACCAGGTAAAGTACAGTCTACATTTTAAGTCCTTCCTTATCATTGGAAGACTCATCTTCACAGGACTTTTCTACATGCTGTGAAAGCAAATACTATTAATATAGAAGATCTGCAGATAAGCAAGCACACCCGAAACATCACGATGTTTACAGCTATGGGACCATTTCAACTACCAAACTCAGTAAATTGGACATATCATGCCCAATATCCAGGCATTTTCTAGCAGACATACTTTGGATGCACAGGAAAACATCATTACCTTCGAAAAGGCTTTCACAGATGACATGACAAAACCAGTACTATTCAACATAAGTCTTTTTTATATTGGATGTCTATTAAGTTATCTACTAAAAAGGATTCGGAGTTGTCCCGGTGAAGAAAAGACTCTTTATTGTGCATATACAGTAACAATTTTTTCCCTTCTCTAGAGCACAGGGAAAGCTTTACACATCCTCACTATTGCAGAGGCTAGGACCACATTTCCACCAACTTCTCATAAAAGAACAGAAGGTGAAAACGTTTACAAGGTTTCTCTAAGATTTTTTTCAAGTTCAAGGATTTAAAAATTATGATTTTTAGATTAATAAATATACAATTATCTGTTAACAACTGTGCCTTTCTTCCCATTCTATCCCAAATGATTCAGTTTCTCTTTTCCTGCAAAAAAGGAATATAACAGTGGGTTTAAGAAGGGTCCCTAAAACGAAGTGCTTTATATGCAAATATGCATACCTATGTGTGTAATGTCCGTGCAACGACAAAGCTTCAAGCAGGATGTAATCTGCTTTTTACAGTACTGTTACAGTACTGAATTCCCAGGGCATTTAAAAAAATCCCTGTGTGCACATAGTTTATTACATAAAGCACTCATCAACTCACTCAAGAGATTCAGTTGACACTAGCTAAAACAAAACAGACATACAAGGTCAAAGTTGCATCCTCTTTGGCTATGTGACCAAGTCTGATTTAGTTTAAGAACAATTACACTTGTGTTTCCTGTGTTTAAAACAGTGATCGTAATATTACATTATTATAACAAGAACAATGATATGAAACTCAAGCTCTCATAACCAAATTAGTTGCGCAAGAAATCTTAATTTGCCTCCCTTCTGTATTGTGCTAAGTCTTTAATTATGTGATCAAACTGTTCTGTCTCTGGATACTTGCATAATTAACTGCACAGAGTGAATCTATTTTCATGACGCAGTATCGTGCTCAGATCACAGCTACAACTATGTTGCTTGCCTTATGGATTATTCTATAAAGCCCTGTCTCATATACTGTCTCTTTTCAAACATAAACTTGATTCTCTACCACTTTACTAGGTAATACCGATCTCTGCGGTTTACATAAACTGAAGTGCAGATTAAGAAAAAGTATCTGAATGAAGGACAATTTTTTAAAACTTCTTTTCAGAATATTTACCACTCATCAGTTATTACTTCACAGGTGGTATCTACCACTTCACTACATGATCATACCTAATTCACTTTAGAGAAAAGTTATAGCAAACTCCCGTTCGTATTTGACCTTGTGCAAAAGTGACTTAGTACTCAGCCAGTATCACTCATGTCTCACATCCAGCTGTTTCTCCTCTTTATTATCCAATTGCTAAATAACGGTGTCCAGCTCAACTACAGTACCTGACTAAACAAGTGGTCAGGCTCAGTCGTTGCTAATACATCAAACAAATGAAAGTTTGGCATATCAGCAAGAATGTGATCGAATGACTGCTCACATAACTTCACAGGCATATCAGAGATTTTTCTGGGGCTTATAAATTGGCTGAGTTATCACAAGAACATCAAAAGGCACAGTCAAACAGCCAATAAATGCCAAGCTTCAAGTCACTGCTTTAATGCTAAGGAACAATTTTTTTTTTTCCTGAAGACATGAAGTTGTGTGATTTTTTCCCATACCTGTTCTTAGCATAAAAGTATAAGTTTGGGGTTTTTTTAATCTCATCTGTGGGAAATATTCCCTTTGAACAGTTTAAATTAGCAACACTATAGGCATGAGAACAGGACCCTGTAATGTAGAATGACAGTGTCACTACCTGCACCACTGTAATTCATGGGAGGCTTAACATAAAAAAAATGCATACAAGACTTTTAATTACTTACACACAAACTGAGACATTTCCACCCTCTCAGAGGAGGAGGGCTCAGTTTTGTAACTGCTTGTATCATGATAATTTTTTTAAATTGTTGCCATTGCTAATAACTTTCCATACTATTTGCACACACTTTTTCCAAAAACATAAGAAATATTTGCAGAGTATGCTGCTTCTTACAGAAATTTTGGCTGTTTTTCTTTCCTTCAGTCACTGGTCATTAATTTTTTCTGTATGTAGTGCTTGGACTTCTCGACATGATGGTTCAATGCAGTGAACAGCGATTTAAGTTAAAAAGAGGTTATATTTCTAATCTGAATTTCTAATCTGAACTTCTGGTTTTAACAAGCAGTTGTCAAAAACTCAGAAGCCTGTGTTCATTTAACTTGTTAGTGCTATGAGGAGGCCCTATCAGTAGCATTGGAAAAAAGAACTTTCTTCTCCAACCCTAACATCATGCAACAGTGCTGCTGGATAAAAGAAAATACAGCACATCACATTCAGCGAGCACAGCTAGTACTGCCCACTGAACGATGTTTCCTATCAATGCAAGAGACATGGGTTTGTTACTAAAGAGTAAGAAGAGAGGGATCAAATTCAGCTCAACTGGACTAAAATGTAGCAGCAGACCTACACAAAGGTGAGCAACAAAGTATTTGGTGAATTCCTCTCTTCCTAGATACTCCCTTTGGGTCTAGCTCAGCAGCAAAGCAAAAAAAAAAAAAAATCTAAGTTATTCCATTAGAGGAAAGTTTTTTAAAGAGTTTATAGAAAAAGAACTACCGTCTATAAACAGGTGCTCTGATTCTCAAATAACACTCCAAGAACAGGCAAAAAGCCTGCAGAGGCATGCAGCCTGTCACCCTATACAAATCATGCTTGATAGAAGTAGATTAAACAAATACTTTCCTTCCAAAGTCACACAGAGTTAAAATCTCCCTGCTCTCACTATGGTTCAAGCAAAGACTCAATGACCTAAAACAGCTGGTCAAAATATGATACCAACTTTCACCATGTTCTTAGGCATGCTATCATATTTTAAAAAGAAAAAAATGCAGTTTGAAGCACAACACAAAAGAAAAAAAGTGTTCTTACCGTACAGTATCAAAACTTTGAACTGAATAGTTCCAGAAATACTTCACGCTGTGATGTGTGAAATAACGAATCTGCAAGGGCAAGAGACATAGATATTAAACTAGCACCACTTAGCACCTCTCTTCTGACTGACTTTATTCTGAACAGCGATAGAAAGTGTATTTAGAAAAACTTCACTGAAAAATAAATACTTTTCTTTCAAAATAATCTTTTGAGCATTCCACAATTTCCAGTAACAGGTTATTGAGGAAAATATTTGTGTTCCATCCAAAGAATGAGTTAGTCTTTTAGGCAAAAGTAGCAGCTCACCTATACAGTACTGTACGTGTGTAATCTAGATACTACTTGAGATACTTTGAAAATTAGCAAGTGTACTATCACAGGTTTACTTACAGGCAAATATTTTTTCAAATAATTTTTATTCTCTTCTGCAGTAGATTCACAGAAATTAACAGCATGGCCATCTGAAACCTTGTGTACAATAGGGTTAGGATTCTGTAAAGGATGGGCTCCCAAAGGCATAATGCGAACCTTTGCACAAAACCATATCTTGAATTCATCCTTAAAAAGAGGGGGGAAAAAAAATGAGTTGGTTGAAACAACATTTAAACAACATTTTACTACAACAGCTGCAGCAAAATGTGTTGACAACCGATGACAGATTAGCAGACCCCATACATAACTACAGATGATACGCCCAAGTTAACATCAGCTACCTTAAGAATACATTTTCCATAATTCTAGAAGTGTGTTTTTTGCACTGAAAGATTTCTTTTCTTTCAAGCAATGAGTCTTGGTACTTGAATTCTGACATCGTCAGCCCTTCACAATTTAATATAGCTGTTCCGTGGCAGGAGAAACTATGGGATTCCTATGCATTCAGCTGTACTCACCCTGCAACCTCAAATAACTGAGGACTTAACACAAGTTCATAACCAGGGACTATACACAGCAATTGTGGAGGAAGAAAATCACTTGAAATCAAAGCACACTTGGCTCCACAGTTACACCCTAATTCAATAAATGTGTCTTTGCTGAGTAAAGGAGGGAAAACACGAAAACCATGTTATCAGGTTGGCATCTGTTCTATAACTTCTGATGACAACAGCATTCATGTATTTAATTCCTAAAACCCAAAAGCAAAGACTTTCTTTTTGCTGTGTCCTCTGCAAACAGCTGTCAATCTTCCCACATGGGCAAACCTATGTACAGTACCAAGGAGCACAGTTCTGCAGTGCTGTGAACAAGAATCATGTCTACATTGCAGGCAAGGATTTGTGTATTGTAGCGAGCAGCAAGAGGGATGTGAAACAACTGCAAACTGGGAGAAGCACACTGTCCTATAGACTTACAGTTGTTCTCAGCAGAACCACTTCACAGTCTTTAAGCGTAGTCCTTTTGCATGTTGCTTTCACACGCCACTGAGGCATCCAGTAGAGGAGGAGGAGAAGAAAGCCACCAGAACAGATCACTCCTACAGTAACTAGCACCAACTTCCAGCGACATAGATCATAGCCATAGATCTCCTGTGTGGAAAGAGAGACAAATAAGAAACAATGATTCTCTTAATTACTCTGGCTCAGGAAGCCAATATTAATTTTTCATAAAGTGCGGTATTTAAAGTGAATCAAATTTCAAAGCCATTTTCTCCTTTTTCTTTTTGGGGGGAAGGAAAGATTTAAAAAACTTAATACATGATGGAGTGGCAACAAAGAGGAACATTGTCTTGCTCCGTCAGAAATACAAATATCAGTAAAAGCCTGACAAAGGCAGAACATCTGCATCGTTTAAAACATTTCATTGCAGGACCTGTCTCCTCTCTGCACTGCTCCCTAAGGACTGAGGTTGCAACACAACCTGCCTTAACTCTCAAGTGAACAACCAAATTTTTGACCATGACACAGCACAAGTCAGCTAAGCATTTAACAGCAAAAGCGTATGTGGTTTTGCCAAATGCTGATTTTACCACATTAGCATTTGATTAGCTAGCATACATAGTTTTGAATTACTGGTGCTAGCTGAATTTCATGTTTTCTAAACAAGCCTGTATATCCATCAAACACTACTTTTTAGAAGAGAAACAGGCTCATTTTGCCTGCCATTTAACAAGAAATGCTACTGTGAACATTAGAAACTGCAAGCCACACTGTCAAAGGTTCTGTAACTTGCACCAGCTGGAAAAATCATCTTCTTCCATTAAAAAAACCCCACAAAGTATTAAGTGTGCCTTGGTCAAAGGCAAGTACCAACCTAACCTGATGATGGCCAGAAACAGAAGATAATTCAGTCACTTGGTAGATGCTGTGTTACATTCCTGAGTTTCACATTACATCATTAGATTATATTTCCTGCTGCAAAAGGGCAATGAAGTTTCCTATTGAGCCCCACCCACATTGTTCACATTGACACCAACTTTTTGCAAATTTTTTTTTGTACTTTTCGTTAAACAGTATTAGAAATTGTTTAAACTCCCTTCTTAAGGAAAGGCTTTTCAACAAGTTTGCTTTGCAGCCTTCTCGGCTGACAAAAAGCAGTGACAAAACCTATTCTCTGTTACCCCCAAAACACTGGAGCCAGTATTCACTCCTTACCAATAAAAACAGGTGGGTGAAAGATAGTGGAAGACATTAATGCTTCTTTTGGGACAAAACAAAACTATATCCACCAAAACCCATTTATTTTAGTGATCAGACCCATAAGCATCTCGGTTTCTTGTTGTAAGGTGTATTCGCGTACTCTCCATATTAGAGCTGGTCTAAGTGCAGAGCAGCTTTTCCTAGCAGTATGCACAAAGACGGAACAAGGACTTCAGTTCACAGGAATCTACCATTTTTTAGAACAGAAGTCCCTATATACCCCAAATAGTTTCTGCTGTCTCCAGAATGGGCTAGAAATGTAAAGATCAGCTGCCACTATTTTCCTGTCAAAGCTGACTGCTGAGTCTTCTAGGATAAATGGTAAGAGGTATCATTGCTCCAGTAGGAAGCCAAGTTTATGTGCTACCAAATACCCATAAAACTGCTTGCCATGCTTTAGAGAGTAGGTCTTATCTGCATAAATATGAATATGCAGGAATATGCAGAGTACAGTCAGCTTATGGAGCATTCACCTGTTTTAGATGACAAGAAAAAAGCTGAAGGAGAAAAAAACCCAAAACCAAAACCCCCACACAACCCACTTTGCTTTTGTTTTCCTTTAAAAAAAAAAAAAAAAAAAAAGTTATCTGTTGGACTACTGACCTCAATGCAGCCAATCCAGCACCTTTGCAAAGGCTTTCAACAAAAACATTCCCTATCCCAAGACTAGATTTCTTAATACCAAAAAGATTATCAAGGATAACCTTACAAAATTGCTAAACTGATTTAAAGTGAGACAGTCCACTTCCTGATGTCATATGCCCCATTTAAAGAAAAAACCATGAAAATTTCTCTCTTTCACTGTATAAAAACAGATGAACAGAATTAATTACCATCTCATCTTCTTCTGCTTTATTGACAAATTTCTTTTCTTCTTTCTCCATGGTTAGTATGATATGGAACTTCTCGACTTGAGATATGGAAGACCTTTAACAACAAAAGAATTAAAAATTGAAGCCACATTACTGATTTTATACATAAGTATTAGGTTGTTTTGAGTTATTTTCTGTAAGTGCATACACATAAAACACACTGACAACACATTAATATAGATTTAAATTTGCACTGTTACTAGTTTCCAGTAGTAATGACCCAAGGAGCTCTAGTAAAGCTTTAAGATTGAACACTGGGTGAATACAAGTGAAATACTGCAGAAACAGCAGGCTTTGAAGGAGGGAAAAGAGCTTGTACCAATTCAACTTGGTCACATTCTCCAGATGCAGTTTTTGGTATATTTTACAAACCTCACGATGAAAACTTAAATTAAACCTCCAAAAAAAGCTTAAAAGTAGGTCAAGATCACACATTTCTATTATTCTATATGCAATAACTCCAATCAGATGTTTTCAGAAGCCAGGCTATCCTTCAAGAGGAAAGGCACTGTACCCCCGAGACGTGCATTTCTCATCTGAGCAGAAAAATAAGTACATGCTAAAACCAAGGTTAGTCCCCAGATTGATATTTCTAAATCAAGGCATGCTTAATGGTCAATTAGTCTTTTCCCTTCTTTCCAATTCTTTTACCATTCAATTTGTATCAATGATTTCATTTCTTATTGTAAATCTCTCATAGTTGCAAATCTTGAGAGGTGCTTTGAGGACAAATTATCATCACAAGTTTCATGAATAGGGAGAGTCATGAAAAAATATGAAGCTGTCTATGAGATAGATAGTGCATATAGTGCAACATAGTGCACAGAGATCCCTATTCCAACAGGGAAGAACTACAAACAAAAGGCTACAGCATACTACAAGGCTCATCAGAAGTTTCAACACCACGTGAACAAAGAAAATCAAACATACCAGGTCGAAAAGCTGAATTTTTGAAATTAAAACTGCATCTAAACTTCATTTGGGCACCCCCGCACATGTTAATTGCATACAATTTATAATTAATGCATCCGTACTGTATTTCCACAGGACCACCTACTGTAGTTAAAACCACTGAACAGCCAGTGCTCACCTGCCAAGACACGAATTAACTATGATTCTCTGCACTGACACTGTACAGCCTTTGATTTTATCTACTGCAAATACATAAACCTCCAAGACGACAGCACTTACTACCACAGCATATAAGCAGTCCTTGAGTATTAAGGATTCACTGCCATAGTACAAGTAGTTATTGTAACTGTCATTTTTCAGAGAGAATGCTGTTACAAAGAAAAAAAAAAAAAAATCAAGGTGAAAGCCATCCACTTAACTTCATCTCAGCTGTCCACCGAAGACTAGGATGCCACTACTTAAAATACTCAGTATTAGGTAGCATTATGATGAAAGCACAACCATTACCAGGTTCTTTGCTGTCATTAACTCCTCAATACTTTCACAGATCAAATCACCAGACTGCAAGTCAGATCCTCTCGAAGCCAGCCCCTGGAACCATGCACTTACATTCAGCAGCGACGCCAGCTTCAAAGGATCCTTCCTCCCAATCCCTGCAGTTTATCAGCATCATCACATCCTCACGTGTTTTCTGCAAGCTACCACCTCCTTTCCAACTAAGCCAACAAATGAAGCAGGAACCCAACAGAAAAGGTTTCTCTTGCTGCCCAAACCTGGGTCTCCTCAGAATCTATTCGCACTGCTGAGTAAGGTCCAAGTGGAAGAAACACACACGTGAAGCAAAGAACCGCACCACCACACAGGCTCAGGCACAGGTGAAAAACTACTCAGCCCTTCAGAAATTGCGTGTTTGATACAGTTTGTATTTTGTTCTGTATGGAAGGAAGCCCATTGGGTAACAACCCTCTCCTTTGACAGAAACACGAGCTCACACGCTCCCTGCTTTGTTAGGCTGAAAATCTTCTATTACTACCCAATACTGCACTACGAATACTTTTCTTACTGCAGATTAATTTGGAAATTAAGCCAAAAGATGTGCACCACTGATACTTCCTCATATGTTACACGAGTCATGCAAGATCTAAACCACGTTTTTGTTTAAATTGCCACTTTTCTTCACTAACTAGCTTTTTATCCTGGGAAAGACATATATATACATATGAAACCAGTTAAAATGTGTCCTAAACCTACACAGGATTGCTAAGAAAGCTCCCAAGAACAACCTTTGAATTAACACCAAACTGTATGTACACCACACAAGTCACATTTTCAATCAAGAAGTCATGCAGCCTCAAAGTTTTGTGTATTTACAGAATTATACTTCTAAAAGAGTTCACAGCTCCATGAGACAATTATTAGACTCATCACACCTGAAGTAGTCTGCTCTCTAACAAACACACATTCCCCCGCTGCAGCATACTGCAACATCAAAAACAGTGCCTGCAGGCAACACTCCAATCTTGATGAACATATCTAGCAACAACTGTACTTGATATGGGAAAGCACCAGGCAGCAAAATAAATGCAAACAGCTTCAAGATCAATAAATCTCAACTGAGATTTCCATATGGCCAACACGTCTGAACAGGCACCTTATGGGACACCGCAGCAGCAGCATGAGAGAGAAGTGCAATTGCTTTAATTTAGGGCTGTTCCACAGCTAGGAAGGGGCATCAAGTTGTTGGTCTGAAGAAGCACGGAGGGAAATCTCAGCACTGAGAGCACCAGCAATAATTCCTGCGATTCAATGAGTTCTTTGAACAGCTGGGTAGAATCACACAGGGAATACACGAGGAGCATTAGGAGGCTATTTTTGACTCACATCATTAGCTCCATCTGCATTATTTTATACAGACTCATTTACTGAGCAACCTTCAGCTAACACACACATTCTCGATATCTCACATACTGCTTGTAATTTTCCACATTAAACTCAAATTCAAATCTCTAAACTTAGAAAACATGAGAGATCTTTTCTTAGTTGATGGGTGATGGAAATCATTACTATTTAGGAACAAAGAAAAGCACTCTTTCTCCAATCTTATCCCTTTTGGCACATTATCAAGTGTTCAAACACATAGCAGTTTTGGGTTTGTTTCTCGCTGCCCTGCTGAAAGTTGGGGTTGAACACCACCACCACAGGCTCCACAGGGTTGCCCTCTTTGGGGGTGACTTCAGGCTGCCGGGTCAGACCAAAGAAAGAAGTAGCAGCATCTCACCAACTCAGAAGAGAATTTAGCAATCCGTGTTTAATCTTTACTTCCTTCCTTCTATAACATGGCTGGAAATTAAACATTTCAATATATTAAATATTTAATTCAATATTTAAATATAAGCCTTGGCCTTTTCAGACTACAAGGGAATTGAAGTGAGGTTGAAATCCACTCACAAGAAGCAACATGGACTCAGGAATATCCTGATGCAAGGGCTGCCACTCAATCTCTCTCCGACACAGTTCCCTGGAGTGAACAGCTAGAGAAGTCCTTTCCCCATTTAACAAACTGAAAACAGCACCTAAAAAGCACTATTTATTCCTTTTAAAGAAAGGGGCCAAAACCAATGGAAATGGTGAAAGTTACTGTCACTCCACTTACATAATTTTAACTCATCAAGTTACTATTGCATAGCTAAGCATATACTAGTCTCATAAAGGTCTGTAAAAGAAATGCTGTTTGCCACTGAGACTAAGAGAATGAAAGCACTCGCAACATTTCAGAACATAGGTATAAATTTAACAAACGGTATGGCCATCAGCTGAACGGTGTCTGAACTGTAAGTGCTTCTAAGAGCATACATCTGAATCACATGCTTAAACATAAAGTCTGCAACTTTGTAAAAAAAAGTATATCAAAATGTAGTAAACTACATTTGCTATTTGCCTCTGTCCTGAAGAGTACACAGTTGTGAGTAGGACAGCACCTGCAGTTTCAGATTAAAGTTGATATTATTTTGGAGCTGAAGTAGATCACAAATTAGATCACTGGAGAAATTAGAGCAGCGTACAGACCCTAAAACTACATGCATTCCCCACAGTGAAGAAAGTGTTGCAACTTTACTGATTACTACACCAATACCTATTTGTTGATCTATCCTGACTAAACAACCAGGATACCACACAGTTCTACCAAAATATTTATAGGCAATAAACATTTGTAGCAACATTATAAGAGATGCAGGTCAACTCATGGCATATTTATTAAGGAAAATGTTGTTGTCAAAGAACTCCAGTAAGTCTCTATCAGTATGCTTTAAGAGTTCTGCACGCCACACTTTCGAAGGACCACTCGCTTATCTGAAGTCAGTGTTCTAATAGCTGGCATAATTAGTGAACCACTTCAGTGCAAATTTTACCCTTCAAGTTTGATTTGGGGGGCGGGAAGAAAAGAGATCTTCCCTCTGTTCTCAACATTTGTCCGAAGTCCATAATCCTTAAAAACTAATTCTCCTTTAGCACACATACATCAGTGCCATCAGTTTATTCTTCCAGTTTCCCAGCTTGACTGGAAGTTTCATGATTTCAAGAGAAAAATTCCAAGGTATGGAAAGACTAAAGCTACAAAAAAAAAAAAAAAAAAAACTTTTGAGATCTCCTGCAGTCACTGGGTAATTTCAATACCAAGTTTCTCAGATGAAAATGTAATTTTGACATCTTAAGTCTTAGTAAAATCCCTGTATGGATATGCATATAAAAATTATCAAGCTGTTGCACATGCTTATGCTCTGTCATCATTTGCCTGCTTAAAAAACACAAGTAAATAAACTTACAAACTTGCATCTTAAATGTTCCCTATTTTGTTCTTTCCAGATACTTGTAAAAACCCTGAGATAACGAGAAGAGTTTCTCTTACCAACAAGCAGTCCAGCGGCTGTCCTCTGCACTTGCTTTTGTTATCATGAGTTAGTGAGGCAGTTCTTAATAACTGAGACCCTATCTACAAGGGAAGTCCTGACAAATGAACTATTTTGTCTAAAATCTAAAAAAAAGTCTCCAAGGGCTTTTCAAACTGTTATCAAAAGATTAACATATCAAAGAAAATTTGGCACTGCTTGGAAAGCTTTTTTTTTTTCCCTCTTCCCTCCAGTG